GCTTCAGTAACGTCGCCGATGACCGGAAAACGATGAACTTTGAAGAAAAACTTGCTCGAGACGTGCCATTCTCGTGCACCGATGGTTATTAGAAATGATGGAAGTTCAATTTCATCAATGATGAAATCAACTGAAGCAAGTTGAAACGAGATAAAGGCAAACGAAAAAGCGAGCGATCCTTTCTATTTATACGTTCAACACGTTGACTGCCACGCACTTTTTCGGCGCAGTATAATTTCCATTATTCTCAGCACATAATGGTAAAATATCAAATAACATGAGTAAGAAATAGAAATGATGTTCTTATCAACAGTGTGTTTATTTCGCTGGTGTTAACCAAATTGTTGAAAAATCCAAAAGAGGCAGGGACAAAATTTCAAGAGAACTTCGCTGCCATCGGTATGACTTTGAAAGCTCTTGGACTGCGCGCCTCGAACTCTAGAAATCCTGCGACAATCTCGCACGAACCCAAGAACATTCCCTTTCCCGCAGACAGGTATGGTACAAAGAACATTCTCGCCCGACGAGAAACGACGTAAATATTTACAGGCATTTAACGAAGTTCGTCTTGATCGCGAGACAGAACTGGGCCGCGGAATTCTCAAAGACCAAAGGGAGGAAGCGGCGGCGCGCTTGTCACCGGGGCCAATTAGCGCGCCCCGCCGAGTCGCTCCGGCTCGCGTGGCTCGTTTCACGTCAATTTCATCGGGACAATAAGCAAATTAATTCTCTTGGATCGTACTTTGATTTCGTTAGTGTTTTCACCGGGACGGCAGCGCTTGGCCGCGTAATTTCGCGTCGGCGGCGGCGTCGTTATGAAAACCCTCAATTGCACTTCACCCGTCTACCATCACCGCCACACCACCCTTACACTACACTTGTAACACTCTGTTGCATTCTGCGCGAGGGTTGTGATACGTGCGTGGATGTCATCCTACGTACCCCGGTCGTTCCACTGTCGTGGAACCATCTCGCTCGCTCTTTTGCTCTGATGTGAGCGCGTCGGGGGAGTTTCGCGCGCCGATGCGCCGCAACGGCACAGATGCTTGCTTTAACGTCGGCCGTGTAACCACGGCGTCGCACCTCCGGCGTCGCGACGACAATTAAGCGACGCACGGCCTTCCTTTGAACTCGGTGTCAATTTCGCCGCCGAATCAACTGATTCTATTTACCGTCGAGTAATTACCGCCATTGGCGTATCCGGCATGTCGAACCGCCTGTGAAACGGCCAATAATTCCCGTTTCGACGCTTAATCAACGTGTCACGGATGCAACCTTGCCTCCTCTAATTTTTAACCTCTTCTCTTCATCTCTCTCTCTCTCTCCGACCTTGTATCTTTTTTCTTCCCTTGGTTATCACCTCGCCAACGAATCTTCAGTTTTTCATCATACTCCTAAGCTTATTGTACTTGAACGCCGTCCCTCGAGCGACGACACGGAACAGCCGTCCGTTAATTACTCACGGATCTCGTGACATTATTATCCAAAACGATCCAGGCGATCAGCCAACCACCAGAGGGACAATTTACCTTTTTTCTCTCCCCCGGCCGTGACTAATCAATTTCCCATTCAGAATCGCCTTTCCGCCTCTGATGGATGACGAAAAGCGATCGAAACGAAAAAAGAGAGAGAAAGCGGAAGGACCGCGAGGTTTTAATAAATCAACATCTATCGTTCCTCTCGGCATCGGTCATCAGTCTTCCGGACAGGGTGGGAACAAAACCGCGAAAGACACACAGGTAGGCGTGAAATCTCGTCCGAACAACGGGCTTCACGTGCCGTTCGTTCGTTCTGTTCGTTCGTGTCCGGTCGATCGATCCGTCGAAGGGACAACGTACCTGGCTTATCGAGCAGCAGGCCGTTTCTTTTGCGTGTATGCTCGCGTCGCGGAGCGATCTCGCGACAACGGGGAAAACGGAATAGCGGCCGACTCGAAAACTCCGCGTTCGTCGTTGCAATCAGTCGGTCACGACACTCGCCCGACACGCCTCTCTCCTATTCACGGGGAGATTGTTGCTTTGCTGCTCTGCCACGGAGCGTTCGAAGCAAGGATTACCGCCGCGGGATTATCGATTTATCGCGGGAACGTTCTGACATGGAACGACGCTGGAAAGGAAGCAGTGTTTTCGTACATTCGCGTCGAAAGTGAAACTCAAACTCGCCGCGATTTTCGACTGTTCGCGTGAAACGTGAGGGAAACGAGGGAAACTTTTGATAAACCTGATCGACTGTATTTTTTATTAATATTATATTATTTAATATTTATATAAAATATAATATTTCGTTGTTCTAAATTCCCTCAGTTTTAAGTACATTTAAATGAAACAAAATAAATTTGTTACTTCTCGATAATTTCTATCAAGCGATATCATATCGACGAGTTTAAAAAGAATTATTGTATACGGTTTGGTCACTCGTTGTGGTCCGCAATCAGTTGCCCAGAGCAAATGGCTAATATTCGATTTAATTTTCATTCGATTAAAATTCATTCAGCGAATGAAAATGACACCGATTAATATTTGCCGTTTAAAAAATGTACGACTCACTTTCACGAGTTCGTTCATCGGAGAGAAAATATTTATATACTCGAGTAATAGTTTCATAATTTGATTGCATGTTAATATTCAATTTCTGAAAATGGACGATCAACTTTCGTAAGTTGATTCATCGGAAACAAACGATACGGAACTGATGATTTCTGAGTAGAGGATTGAAATTTTTAAAAAAATAAATGACTTTTTACAAGTTCGTTCGTCAAAAGGAAGTAATGGTAATAATTCCAAATTTCTGCGTTTTCTATTTTACCGAGTTGATCGATACGACGTCTGTGAACGATTCAAATATTTGTCATTGAATTTACAGCACTACGAATGATTACTTGAATAAAAAGACAAAGTATGCATTCCTTGAAAACACGCAATTTTTATTTAGAACATTTTCTCGCGCAGAGAAGAATCTACGAGTGATTCAGAGTCGTTGTCCATAACTTAACACGTAACTGCACTGTGTATGTAATATTAATTTGAACATGAGATACCAACCTAAATTACAAAAAGCTAAACACATGTCGAGCCTTTCCGACGAAAGTTTTATCAATTATAAATATTATTTTGAAATTCCGACAAGATCAATTATCGATGAGTCATGAAAACTCCGTTCAATTTCGAATTACGTTCATCTTCGTAATTCTACCTATTAATATACTCTACACATGCGTCTTCTTACGACTGTCAATCACACACACATCAATAAACTGCAAAGTGAATCGTTTCAAATTGCCTCCATTCCTCGATCAACATCTAATTACGTTCACCGTTTCTCCCGAGGAGCACAATTCACTCGAGTTACGTCGCAGCCGCGCGCGATTTATCCAAACGTGTAATTCCATCCTCGTGAAAGAGCGAAACCCCGGCGGACGAACCCGGACAATTTGTTTCCCCTCGCAAAATGGAGCGCACAGCCGCAGCGAGGAATTTCACAACGTCGCCTCCATCGTGACTATCTTTGCGCGCGCTTTATGAAACATAATCTCCCCCCAAAGAGTAAAAAGCCGGGAAAATCCATGCACGAGCGGCGTATCGGTACATGAACACCCCAAAAGAAACGGAGGAGGATAAATAGGGCTCGTTGTTTGACCCCGTTCCTCGTGAACGTTTCTGCGGGAGAGATTCCATTCTTTGAGAATGCGCTCCTCGACGACGGATGTACACACACTCCGCTCGAGATAATGGACAATCGCGTCTCTCGCAGCGAACCTGTACGGCTTATCGCCAACACGCTCGAGTTCGAGGAATGCCTGGCGGTGGCTTATCGACTCGCCAGCTTGACAAACTTGCCGGCCCTTTCCGAAACGACCCCCCGGGAAGATGACGCGGCGCCGATCGAACGTCTTGCGAGACTTTCCTGGCCAGCTTTCCCTCCGGAGAATTTCCCTCCCGAATCTGTGCGAGACTTTCCTGGCGCGCGCGATAAAGACGAGCGTATCTCACCGGATTGGCCAACGCGGCGGCAAGGAGAGAAAGGATCGATAGTTTTCTCACGTTGCACACAATACCACACGAGCAGCACACTACAGAGCTTCAGCTCCTCCTCAAAAAAAAAAAAAAAAAAAAAAAAAAAGAGCATCCGCGGATCGGCGAAATTCCTCGATTTTGTGTATCGATTCATCGTGCACGGATTCGACGCTTCGTTTTCAAACGAATCTCTCTCTCTTTCTCTGGATTTCTCGGACACTGCCGTGGCAGCCGGCTGCTTAAGTCAGGAGAGAGACTTCATTGCCTGCGAGATTTGCGGAGCGGCAGCGCGCTTTGCTCGCGGATTACGCAAATTCGACAGCCCCCGTCCCTGGGATTCGGGGTCAGCGTCCACGTTGCGCGTGTTCGTAACACAAGAGGGTGGCGAGTGGAGTGGGAAAGGGGACGATTGCGTTACGTACCACCGCGCACCGGCTGCCGCTGTCCCCGTTGTCTCTATTTCTCTCTCTTTGGCTGCATTTTAGAATTTCGGATGTTAGGATTTTCAGCGGGATTCGCGACACGTAGCAAAGCCAGGTGACGGGCGGGGAGAGAAAGTTTTCGCCATCGTGCGGCGTCTTCATAAATCTTGGATGACGAAACAGGACACGGAGTAGCGTGGAATTTTATTTGGATCGTTTTTTTTTTTTTTTTCTATATAATGAAACCTTCTTCTTCGCTCGTCTCTTGTGCTCTTCTCGCGTCGAACGTCTCGTCTCCTGTCTCGGAAAATTGACTCGGAACTCTCTTTAACGAGTCTGTCACAGAGTCCGGTATCGCGACGTTTAATCAGAAAGAAGAACCCGCGGGAAAAAGTAACGAGAGGTTGTTTCTTTTAGATAAACTCGGGTTCCACCTGATCATCGTGTTGAAGCGAGATCGAGGCTGCTCCTTCTTTCGCTGTGCGCGATTAGCAGTGGAAAAGAGAGAGAGAAAGAGAGAACAAACGGAAAAGTAGATTATTAGGACTGCAGGTGGTTCTACTTACAGATTGTAGTGCACGTCGGCCATGTTCGGTCGATAGCGAAGCGCCTGGACGAACGCCTCCTCTGCCTCTGCGACGCGTCCCTGGGCGCTCAGCACGCTGCCCAAATTACCATAAGCTGCAACAATCACAACGGGACATTCGTTACGACAAGGCCACGTCGAGAAAACGAAGAAAGTGACTAAGGAGCGGAGCCATCCGAGCATAGTGAAATTCCATTTGTACGAATTTTATTTGAGTCAACGAATGTTATGTTGTTGAGATCATTTGACAAAAATTGCGTGGCTCGTGTACTCTGCGTTAAACTTATTTAAAAAAATTTATTATTATCGTGCAGTGTCACACTCAAGTGTCCAGAATTAAAGTGTCAGAACTTCGAGAGCGAATAGAGCGAATAAACTAAGAATCTTCAATCAAAATCGTGAAGAAAGAAATAAAAAAAGTTTTCGATTTGATCATGTTTTTTTTATATTTGCAAATGACAAACCTACGTACCAAGATACAAGATTTTACTATTACAAAAGGAAAACAATACTGATAAAGTATATAACAAGTTACACTGAATTTTGTGATGCACTGATATATATTTTTTTCATAAACAGGGACAATAAATAAAAACGACGTCTTCTTATGCAGGAAAATAAAAATTCAAGATATTCAGAAAGAAAATTTCTGTAGTTTAAATCGTAAAAGGAATTGCATATCAGTAAAATTCGTATAAAGTCATGTTAGAAAAGTATAATTAACTAAAAAAACATAGCATTCCTAAATTGCCAAGTAAATTAACAATCTTGCTAATCTCCATTTATACACATTATAATATTTAATATCGGAAGTTAATCGAATTTTTGATTCGATGGTACAAAGCCATAAGCGAAAAGAAAGTGAAACAATAAAGTTTCTTCGCCCAAAGCTTCGTTTTGGGGGAAAAAAAGTGAAGTCTGCAAGTTCGTTAAGTGTACTTGAGTTTAAGTGTATAATCCACAAAAGGTTATTCTACCAGCGAAAATAAGTGAAAACCGTGGAATAAAATTTTTTTCTCACAAGACGCTTTGTTCCCGAGGGAATTCAATTCAAAAATTAATCAAGTACACGTATACCGAGCCATTCTTAATTAAACATGTTCAAACCGTATCTCCTCGAGAATGAGACTTTAAACGGGGGAAAATTTCGCTCTACGCTTTTCCCGTATTTTCCCGCTCACCAGAATAACGCGCCGCCGATTATTCTCTCTTGTCCTGTGGAGTGAAATTTTTTTCATAAGACGCTCCCGCTTCCGAGAAAAATTCAATTTGAAAATTTATCAAGCACACGCGTACTAACCCATTTCTTAACTAAACACGTCGAGATGTTCCCTATTTTTTTAAGGGAAAATTTTATTTTATTTTGCATTTCTCACGTTTTTTTACACGTAGTAGTAACCTTCTGTCGATTGTTCTCCCCTCTTCCCTTCCCGGAGTTTCAATATTCATGTACACTTGGGAAATGTTTAAGCACGATTTTTCAGCTTTGCAATTACTGAACCGCAATAAAAAATGTGTATGCATTTTCTTCTTGAATTAACGTACAGGGTGTTTAGGGTTTGGTATTCAAACTTTGTCAATATTTATCTATAAGTAAAAATAAGACTGAAATATTATGAAAAAATGAAATTGTAACAACAATTCGTATTAGTCGAGAAGGACTAATCTAAATCAGACATCAACTTGCGGAAAAATATTTATTGTCTTTGAAGGCAAAAATTTTCAACACAGAGGCATCATGTGAACGCAATTAATAAATTGCGTGTGAAGAAATTCAACAAATGGCATGAAGTTCGATCCACAGTATTAATTCGCATTAACGATACTTTAACTGTCGCAACTCTCCAAGAATTGACAAACTTTCAGTTCAATTTCATTTACATCGACAGAGTATACAAGATTCGATCGCGTCAATTTTATATCTGACGTTAAAAAGATGGCTGGCATTTAAAGGTTGAACGAGAGAGGAAAGATTTTATTCGCCCTTTTCGACTCTCGTACTCTCTCGCGTGGAATCGGAAACAATCTGCATTCGTACGCGAGACATGGCGTTCTCAGCAACGACATGAATTTCCCCGCGTCACGAATCTTCAAACGGAATCGTACATTATGAAACGTACACGTGAAACGAGACGGCGGAAGTCGCGGCGATAGATTTTTAAACGTAGCGCACGACTCCTCCACGGAAAGCAATAAGACGCGATAAAAGAGCGAGCTCTCCTCCAACAAACTCCCCCCTTTCTCTCTCTGTAGAATTTCTTTCTCGGTTCTTTGTATTTACGAGCAATAAACCGGCGTGCACGCGCGATCCTCGATACAGGCCGGATAGCGCGAATATCGTGGCAGAGCGCGCACGGAGCTCGGCTTTTTATCTTCGGCCAAACAATATCGGCTATAAAACATTCTCCTGGCCTTTCCCGTCCGCTGATTCGGACCGATGGCTACTCCGAGCACCGGGGGTAATAAATGAATCCGCGATCGTAAAAATTGCCCTGCGAAAGCGTCACGAACCGACCCGATTCCCCTTCCACGATTCACTGTGCCTTCCTTCTCCGATCGTTCTCGAGAAAATCGCACGTGGATGCACGTAAGTGGAAAAACGTAACTCACGTTTCGTCGTCGGCGTTAACGCGTATTAAAAATGCATACTGATTATTACATGGAATACATAATATCTAAATTTATGATTTATTATTAGACGTTAGAACTATCGGTCTATATAATATGAACTGAAATATTTCGTACATGTATGAATCGTTACAATTTAAATGATAAATAACTCGTAATTGTATACATATTTTGTACAGCAATAATTTCTTTGCACAGACAGAAATCAATATTGTAAAATCTGAAATCTGTCATATTGAGGGGTAGTTCTAGTATTATAATAATTCAATATTACAACGATTGATTCGTAATTTAAAATATACGAATAAAAGTATAAAATTTTAATCTTACACCTTTTCTGAGGCAAGTCACTTTTTACAGACGAGTTTTCAAAGTGAAATATTTGTGACAAGAAATATTCTTGATTCAATAGTGGCACCATAAACCAATGAAATGAATCTAGAGATATTTTATGAAATAATTAATTGATTCTGACATAGAGAAATACGTCTCCTAAAGAGATTACTACATTTTTAACACGTGATCCGAAGCAAAGGTGTGCAAAATTGCCAGAGAACAGGAAAAATTTATTCCACCGGCGCGGCCTACACAGTCTTCTTAAATTTTAAAATACCGAAAGTGTAACACTCTTGTAAAAAAAAGGGCTACAGACATTTTATGCAAATTCGTACTTTTGCGAACGTAATTTAAAAGAGGCAAGCTAAACAGAAATTTGGCGTGCAGCTCGCCTCAGATGTTTTACATAAATTCTCGAAATTTTTGGCCCCGGAAATTTCGCATAAATTGCATAGAAATTTGCAATCTATTCGTAAAATGTTCGTCGACATTGATTTTCGAATAGGCTGGACGAAGAACAGAGAGAACCGAGAGTAATACCCTTTTTTTAATTAAATCTGATTTACGCATCGGAACCAACGTTCGAAAAGCCAAAGGGATCGTACAGTAAATATTAACGCGTAATTAAAGCTGAACATTTTGATTACGCTGAATCGACGACTATCTTTTATTACATACAACAATGAAAAAAAATACCCTGTTTTTTAATTACACAAAATATTTCCTCCACATCCAGTCTCTTGTAGATCTGAATACGCAATACCGACCGGTGGATGAGTCAGTTTTTATTTCTCGCTGCGCGCTTTCAATGTTCAGCATTCGATGTTCTAGCTGTTATTAAGAAGTTGCTCGGAAGCGCGGAGAATTTTTCAAACTTCGATTATCGATCTTGGTAGCGTATCTCTCCGGCCAATAATCATACCGCCGGAGAATTTTAATAGAAATTTCCAGCAACTTTGCGCGGAGCAAGCTTTCTCCCCGCTGGTGGAAAGATTACAACGAATAAAGGAACAAGTAGATTACGCGACATTGCCTTAAATAAGATTTAATATTACACGATGGTAGAGAAAGAACGTAGCCACCCGTTGTTTCTCTGCCTGGCGGCGTCCCCGTGCGATTATTTAAAAAGCCCTTGTATTTTAACGCTTCAAATTGTTTTTCATTAGTACTTTAAATACCGGCGCGCCGTGTGGTTTCAGGATGAGTATAATCTGATTACCAGCTCCGCCGGTGCACAAATGTAAGCAGGAAATAATTTTAATTAGCAAACAGCCCTTCCTCCTCGGGGTTCGTTCAAAAACGTCCAGACGTTTTAATTGTCCACCGTTAATCGTTTGCCGTAAACGCAAGTCTTGGTTAGAAAACGAATAACGAACCCTGCTCGTACTTCGTACGCGGAGCGATAGAGATTGTATATTAATTATATTAATAAATGATATATTTATTACAAACGATGAAGAAAGAAAGAAGTTCTAAATCGGAAGATGTATGATTTTTCATTTCGTTTCGACTCGACAGACTTTCTCCATTCATGAGTTATTCCACTGTGCGGAAATAATGGATCACTTTTGTCGTTTCACGCGTTCTTGATCTATTCTCACGCATGCTGACACACCACCGATGTAAGAGAATTGCTTGCTCGTTGAAAAATTCTTGCACGTGTCCTAACTATTTCGCTGGCATTTTGTATTTTCCGACGTAATTCCGCCGTGTTATTGATCGCTCGAGGGAAATGCTACTTTCAAGAAATTCCGACGAAAAGGTCCAGAGGACCTTTGAAATCAGTCTGCCTCAGACGGAGCAAAAATTTGTATCATAAAATACGAATTTGAAAGTATGTATTAATCCCTCGCTATATAAAATTCTGTATTATGCAACAGAAATTTGAGGAAACGCGTTAATCCTTCAACATGTAAAATTTGTATTGTATAATACAAATGAAAATATGTATATATCCTTTAACGTGTACAATTATGTATGTAATCATCATTAATTAGTAAAATTATCTATTAAAAAATATGAAGTGTGTTAACAACTTACAATTATATATAAATGGTACAAGAAACGGAAAATTTATAAAATAGAACAGAATATAGTAAATAGATAATGTTAACGAACAATAATCAAGTAA